GAATTTCCCATAGCAACACCGATCCAGGGGGTAGTGGGTGGCACCAGCCAGCTTGACACAGTGGGTTGGGGCGAGGCCTCCTTGTCGGGCACTTAACCCCACAAAGACATCCTCCAGTGGCAGAAGGGGTGCCCGGCTGGCTACCTTCAGTATGAGCTGCACAGCAGAGGCCGATAGCACATACCCCGTGCCTGAGGCGTAGGGGGGAAAGGGGCCCCAGGTGGGAGGCCACTGTTCCTCTGATATCTGGTGCTTGCCCCCTGGTGTCCGAGAGGGGTGCACCCGCCAATGCACACGGCCCAGGTACAAGAGAGGCACGGGCTGGCTCGCCAAGGTGGGGCCTCCTTCCCACTTTTCATCTCCAACTCTCGCCTTTCTCGGGGGCCCCATGCCCCTTTCCCATTGCTCCCAGCGGCCTCCTCGCCGGACCAGCTCTGATACCAGTTCGGGGACATTGACGAACACATCATCATCGGTCTTGAGGATGTAGCGGGCCACGCGGCAGTGTGTGTTGGCCCAGTTCAGCCCGCTGAGGGTCTTGAGAGTGAGGTTGCGGTAGGAATCCTGGAAAGCCGCTTGCATTATGTCCCCCTGGGCCGCTGACTCCCGCGCCAGGTCGTTCCCGCGCGAGCCCCAGCTGGGCTCTCCCAGCAGAAAGACAGTCTGCACCCTGAGCCCTCGGGCCTCGCGCAGCCGGCCCCACGAGGCCCGAATGGCGTTTCTCTGGTTCAGGTTATCCGGGGCCGTGCACACCAGGATTAGCAGGAAGGGCGGCGGGCCGGGACCACCGCACGCCTCCTCGTTGGGGATCAGGAGGCGGGGCAGGGTCAGGGGTGGCCCGGGCGAGGCCGGGCCTGGGAGCAGGGAGGCTAGCGAGAGGCTCAGCAGCTCCTCCCCGATGCCCGAGGGCCCTAAGAGCGTCCAGACAATCACGAGCAGCAGGGCGGCCAGGAGAAGGCGCCGGAAGAGGCTGAGGCGCATGGTGCGGCGCAGTCAGAAGGGACCTGGAGGGAAAGATGGAACGCGGTTAGAGGGCGGAGAGTGCAGCTCTAGGACACTTGGGTCCCTAACCGGTCACGCCAAGGCTGGGGCGGGCGGAGGGCACGGCCTGTACCAGCGCCCTAAGGTGCCGGCGCGGGAGGCGGCGCGGCGGGGCCCATGGCTGCCGCTGAGGGGAGGTTACCTTGTCGTCTCGGCCGCCGAGGGCTGCCTCCATGGCCGGCGGGTTTCCGCTTCACCAGTCACCTCCCCCGTCCGCGGCAGCGGCCTAGTCCCGCCCCTCTCTCTGGGAGGGCGTGGCTTGCGCGTCCCCGGCATCCCTGTCAGAAGCTTCGCAGCCGCGCGGCAAGCAGAATACAGAGGGAGGGAGCGTGGTGTACAAGTGGGGTCTTCCCCGAAACTGGGCAAGAATGGAATTGGACCCGCGGGCCTCGGGCACAGAAGGCGAACGGTGTGCAGCCGGAATGGCAACGGCTCCCTGGTAACAATGCGCCCCACCCTTCCCTGCCGCTCAGCTCTTCCGGGTCACCAAAATCAGCATCTCCCCTCAACTCTCAGAAACCTAGGGTGGTAAAGACCTGGAAATACTCACCTAAGCGGCAACCGGCTAGGCTCAACTACCTACACAAGCCTCAACACCCTGCAAGCCAACAATAGGGAGCCTAGTCTTGAAAATCGCGAGGGCTCCTCCTCGAGGATGAGCGTGTTGGTTGCCCTTTCTCCCACCCACCCGGAGAGCAGGGCACCACTAAGTAAAATGTTGCTTCCCGCAGTGGGGAGTGGCAACAGCATAGCTTTAACCAAGACCAAGGACACTGTCTGGGCAGCTGAGTGGGGAAATCAAGGAGGAGGGAAAATGACCAACAGGGCCCAGTGTGAGAATATGTTCCCTATTAGTGTCTCCAGAAAAATGCAAAGAACCATAAAGAAGGAAGCCATAACTGTATAAACTATTTATTAACAGACAACACCCACAAATTTATTTCTTCTTGGACACACCCACGGTGCGGCCACGGCGCCCTGTGGTCTTGGTGTGCTGGCCTCGTACACGAAGTCTGCAGGTGAGAAAAGAGAAGGGTTACAGGTCTTATACCATACAAACGTCTGGAAAAAGAGCATGAGAACTCCCTGGGAGTCTAGGGACAGGCAGAGATGAACCCCCACCCCACTCACCCCCAGAAGTGGCGGAGCCCTCGGTGGGCCCTAATCTTCTTCAGTCGCTCCAGGTCTTCACGGAGCTTGTTGTCCAGACCGTTGGCCAGGACCTGGATACAGAGGAGATGGTGAGGTATGCTTGTTCTACCCCCTGGCCTATGACCAATTCTAACTGGACACCCTGCTTTTCTCTGATCTCTCCCATCTTAATACACACCTGGCTGTATTTTCCATCCTTCACGTCCTTCTGTCTGTTTAAGAACCAGTCTGGGATCTTGTATTGGCGTGGATTCTGCATAATGGTGATCACACGTTCCACCTGGCAGGAAGGACAAGGGTCAGGTCCAGCTGGTCTCCCCGCTCCCTCCCCATAGGCCCAACCCCCAGCCCCCCTTCCTTGTCCTCACCTCATCCTCAGTGAGCTCTCCTGCCCTCTTGGTGAGGTCGATGTCTGCTTTCCTCAACACCACATGAGCATATCTTCGCCCCACACCCTGAGGAAAGGTTTCAGAGTCGGATGAGTCTGATTTTTTGGGTTTCCTTTATAAACCCATGATTCAAAAAGCACAGAAAGGTAGGTCCTAAAATAACCTAATGCCTTATACTTTTCCAGATACAAAGCCTAATCATTAAGAGAAAAAGTTTTGTTCAGAGGCAGGGCTGGACCAGAGAACTTGGGGCATATACCCCTTGAAAGCAGAATCTTTTTTCCCCACATTGCCCAGCATACGGACATAGTTGTAAATGCTGCTGTTAAGACAATACAGCAGCATCCAAGAATGGCACCTCCTCATTTCTGCATCGTGGAGAATGAAGCTGATGTCCCTCAGAGCTGATGTAGCACCAAGGCAGCAAGATTAGGGTATTTTGAATTAATAGGGTTGATTAAGGGGTAGGAATGTCAGTTGCTCACGATGTCTAAGGGCCATGGGCCATGATCCTTTGGGCAGGTCACTGCCCAAAGATCAAAAGAGATCAAAGATCAAAATAAACAAACACTTAAATCAGTGACATCATATCACCACCACCACTGGTACTCCTTGCCACCTGAATTCACAAGCCAAATAGACTTGGATAGTGAAGGACTGTGTGTTGGGTTGAATAGTGTCCCACCAAATGTATGTCCATCCGGAACCTCAAAATGTTACTTTATTTTGAAATATAGTTTGTTAAAATGAGGTCATACTGGATTAAATCCAATGACTGGTGTTCTTATCAAAGGAGAGGACACAGACACAGAGGGAAGAAGGCATGTGATAAGAGGTGAGACACTAGAGTGATGCAGCTCTAACACAAAGAAACCAAGGCTGTTTGGCATCCAGAACTGAGAGATTAAGTTTCTGTTGTTTGAAGCCAACAAGCCTGTGTTACAAGGGCCCCAGGAAACTGAAATAGATGGCATTTCCTCTCTGTAAGAAAGTGACCAGGAAGTCAAATTACCAGATTGATTTGGAAGAGACTAGGATCTTAAGTGTCTCTCAAACTTTCTCTTCCTTCTATTTTTTTTTTTTTTTTTTGCTGACATTCTCACATGTTCCATCATTAAGACCAACCCTTCTTTTAAGTCCTTAAACATATTTATAATAGATTCTTTAGTCTTTATCTGCTAAATCTAACCTTTTTTTTTTTTTTTTTTTGCGGTACGCGGGCCTCTCACTGCTGTAGCCTCTCCCGTTGCGCGCAGGCCCAGCGGCCATGGCTCACGGGCCCAGCCGCTCCGTGGCATGTGGGATCTTCCCGGACTGGGGCATGAACCCGTGTCCCCTGCATCGGCAGGCGGACTCTCAACCACTGCACCACCAGGGAAGCCCTTCCTACTTTTAAGTGTTTAAAACTTTCCATAAACAAGTTTTTTAAAAAGTTGCTGTCAAGCTAAGATTTTTGAAGGCCCTATTTAGATTCTGGCTTGCCAACCTCCTAAGTTAGACCCACAGATCCCCTTTACTCTGCCCCAAGCAGACCACCCTTATTCTCTCCATCCAGAAGAGTACACTACAGGAAATCATCACTTTCTCATCTTTGTAGCTCAAGGGCCTGGAGCATATAACAGGAGTTGATACTAACTTCATACTAGTCTCTGAAACCCAGTCATTGTGACCAATTCCAACCCCCTCCATGTTTCCAAACAATCCACAGACAACAGTTATCATCCTGATTTAGAGAAAGAGCAGAACAACCAGCCTTAAGGAATATTCATAGGAAAAGTGTACAAATGGAAACAAAACAACAAAGGGATCATGGCACAGAATAACCTTGCAGGTGTGTATTACCTCTCAGCAAATACCCTCTTCTGCTTGTGCCAACTTCAATACTTCACCTTTCCCTGGCCAGTTAACCTTGCTCCTCTAACTACATTTTTTTGAGGAACCCCTCCTTATACTCAACCTCCCCCGGCAACTTTCTTCCAATTTCTAAGTATTACCCCGCCCTACATTCCAGATCATTAACAAAAGACCATCTGCAACGGTGGTGGAGCAACAGGGCTCCCATACACTTCTGGTAGAAAGGGTAAATTGATACGACCACTTTGGAAAACTGTTTAGCAGTATTTACTAAAGCTAAACATATACATGTCCTATATACCTACCAGAAATGTAGATGGATGTTCTTTAAGAATGTATATGTACATGTACTAGAACATTTGTAATAGCACTAATATATAATAGCTAAAACTGCCCCCCCCAAAGACCACCAGCAAGCTTCAGTTGTCTCACCAGAGGAAGAGCCAGCAAAGGCTGACTTTCCACACAATTAGCAACGGCCCTAGCACCTGTCTAAATCTAATCTTTCCCAGTGATAAGTAGGGCATCAAGTTAATACAGAGATTTATCAAAATACTCATTAAGTATCGGAAACTGCTTTGGTTAAACTGTTTTAAGCTGACTACAAAGGTTGACACATACTTAAGGTAACAAATAAACTAATTAATTTCAAAGACGCAGAGGAAGGGTTTAACAGAAGTATCCTACTAACCATGCTCATCTTTTATTTTCACTATCTCATCTACAGCCTTTAAAAAGGGAACAGGCAACCTCACAGATACAGTGGGCTCAGTTCCAGACCATGCCAAACAGTGAATATTGCAATAAAGGGAGCTACACAATATATTTTGGTTTCCTAGCACATGTAAAAGTTATGTAATCTATTAAGGGAGCAATAGCCTTATATCTCAAAAAACCCCATACATACCTTAATTAAAAGATACTTTATTACTATAAAGTGGTAACCATCACCTGAGTCTTCATCAAGTCTAAATATTTTTGCAATAGTAACACCAAAGGCCGCTGATCACAGATCACCGTTAACAAACACAGTAATGAAAACGTTTGAAATCTTGCAAGAATTACCAAAATGTGACAGAGACACCAAGTGAGCAAATGCTATTGAAACTGACTTCCTTGAGACAGGGCTGCCACAAAAAACACATTGCTAAGCACAATAAAATGAGGTAAGCCTGTACTGTATTTCACACTGCCTTACTAGTTTCACAGAACAGAAGGAAGCAGTCTTCATATGTACCATTTAAGTATGAAAGCTGTGCTCCTTGAATTACAGAATGAAAAAGTAAATGCGACGGATCTTATAAAGAAAAGCTTATGTTGTTTTAAATTAACAACATATCTATAAAATACTTATAATGGTGTCCTGTCATGACATAGTGACACCTCCCATCTCCCAACTTAGAATCTCTCGGCATTTCTACTCACCCTTCAAAATGTACAATAATCCAATTCCTAGGATATACACATTTCCCAGGAAGAGTTGCTGTTATGATGCACTGGGGCAGAGCGGCAGAAACCAAATCTAGCACGGACCTTACAAGCTGATTGATGGCTGATGGTCC